ATTAAAAAAAGAAAGCACTAAAAAACACCTACACTAGATGGCGACTCTAGCAAAAGTAGATTTTTGCAAGAAATGAATGGACCAAAGAGTCATTTCCGTTTCTTTTAACTAACATATTAAAAAACTGAAATTTACAAAGTTCGAAACTTAGATATCAACACAAATACGAAAAAGTACAGATAGAATATGAGTTGTTTATTGAGTTTTGAAAACTAATTTACTTTTATACACGAAAGAAAACCGGAAGGGTTGCACCGAAGCGACATCTAGTTTGATTTAGGAAACTAATGCTTTTTTTTAAATTTTAATCATTGAAATAAAATAAAAAAACAAAATAAGGTTAAATGAAAAATAAACATCAACTGTTTGTTACACCAAAGCGGAAGGGCCAAAGTTCAGCATACGATTTGTCCACATCGCGGACAAATCACTGTTCAACTCTAACCCCATTAGGAGAAGTCGCTTAAGTGCCACATCTCATTCGATACGCACAATAAAAAATAAACTCGCTAACATAAGTGAGGCTTTCTTCAGCTCAAATCTGTGTCACTAAGATTGTAGACTACAATAATATATCTATTATCAAATCTTCAATACGGTACAACTTATTACTGTATCTTCGGCAACCGTTATTCAATCAAGATAACGTTAGCCGCATTGCAATTGTAATAAGTAGGTTAGATATAGCTTTTGTGGTTAAAAATAACATTACAATATCTAATGATTAATGCGTTCTACTCGATTCAGATCTGGGGGTCAATTCTTCTAAATAAATTTTGTTTAAATCGATTCGAAAACGAATCGAAAACGAACGAGACCGCGGTTTTGTTTATAGCAGTTATAATAAATTTGTAGTAGTAGTGTATCTTAATGCCATATATATTTTTGAAAGTTTTTGTAATATATTTTCCCTACTTTTTTCAAGTTTTCAAAGCGTAATATTTTCTGAATATTTAACAGAAACCCATCTCAATTTAATATTGTTAATAACTGTTGGTAAGTTGCCGTGTATATTGTATATTATTGGGTCTAATTTGCTATTGATAAAACAATATTATTTTTATTTTCTAGGTGTCTGTTTAATTAGCCGTTTCAAAAGCTCTGTTAAATTATCTATTCTACTAAATGACATACGATACAATTTCAGCTAAAATAGAACTGGAATTGTATCGTAAATACTATAGTTTTGTTCGGTTTCGATCCGTTTTCGATTCGATTTAAACAAAATTTATTTAGTAGAATTGGCCCCCAGGTCAATCAGATTGTGTAAAAATCCAGACCCGATTTTGAATTCACGTCATTATAATAATAATAATAATTTAATTCGCATAATTTCATTGATAAATTAGTAGACTTAGCTCTGCAGCATATGCCGTAATGTAGATACGTAGGTTAACTGACATAGATACTGCCAGATTAGTATACTTCAGTTACTTTCATAGTGTGATGTCGTACGGTATCCTATTGTGGGGAAATTCTGCCGACATACAAACGATTTTTGTGCTTCAGAAAAGAGCAATTAAGATCAATTTATAATCTTAGTATTAGGGACTCTTTAAGAGAGAAATTTAAGGAAATAGACATAATGCCTGTTGCTTCTCAATACATATACGAGAACTTAATGTACGTTCGTAAAAATATTAGTTTGTTTTCTATAAAAAGTGATGTACACAATTTTAAACAAGAAATAAAAATAAATTAACGGTGCCTGTCACTAGACTGCAGAAAGTTAATAACTCATTCAGGGGTCTTTGTGTGCGCTTCTACAATAAGGTCCCAAGCAAAATACAACAGTTAGATATCATGCAGTTTAAATCTACTATTAAAAAAATACTTATTAAAAAAGCTTATTATAATGTATCCTATTATATAACAGATAAGAACGCTTGGACTCGAGATGATCCAGCAACTGGATAGGTGATTACTTCTAAACTCATTATATATTAAAAATTATCTCGTTTCCATTATTTTTAGTTTTTTTTTTCTTTCTCTATTTATAATGTATTGATCTGGTAATGACATGTTTTTTGTAAATGTCATTACTCTTATTAGAGCTGGTGAGTTTCTTGCTCATTCTTCTTATCAGCCAAAAGACGTCCAGAACGATTTGTAGGGAAAAATGTTGGACGATTCAAAAGTACTTTTAAGAAGTCTATTTGAATAAAGAATATTTTGACTTTGACTTTGAATGTGGTAAAGTTCTTGTAGGTTTAAAAGGTTTTCAATTAACACATTCACCCACTTGTGGGCATGCAAAGTAATTTATAAAACATTAATTGATCTAAACAAATACACATTTTTATTACAATACATTAAACAATTAATCAAATTAAACAATTTCGTAATTAATGTATGTCTACTTTTTTTTACTTATCTAATGTCAAAAGCTTAATAGTAATTTAATTAATAAACAATTACAATATCAATGTAAATTTTGTGTCCAAATTATAAATGTCAATTTTGCAAGTGTTCTTTTACCGTATAAAAACTTTTTTCATTAAGCCATTTCTTAAGTGTATGTTTAAATATATGTAGTCCTAGATTTTGTATGTATGTTAGTAGGTGGGTTATTGTAAATTTTTACCGCCATAGAGTGAATTCTAGAGCTAATTACTGTTAAATATTTTGGTAATAATAACATTAAGTGTAGAAATTTCATTGATTACATTTTTTGTATCCAAAATACAAAACAAAATTGGTTGAATATAAATAAAATTAATTATAAATAAATATCGGACAACATCACACACATTGATCCGATTCCGAGGTAGCAGCTTAGGCACTTGTGTTACGGGTATCAGAAACAAAGGGGGGAATACAAATATATACATAATATAAATAGAAAACACCCAGACACAGAACAGACATAATTGTTAGTCACAAAAATGTTTGTCCTGGGTGAGGATCGAACCCACGACTCTCATCGCAATAGTAAGAACGCTACCACCCCGTCATTGAGCTCGAATATATATAACTAGCTTTTGCCCGCGACTTCGTCCGCGTGGTAAAGTTACTCTGAGCAGCATATCTAACGAATATTTATTCAATATATCGTGTAAAAAACCTGAAATAAAGTTTCATCCCCTATTTTATTCCCTTAGGGGTGGAATTTTTCGAAATCCTTTCTTAAGGGATGCCTACGTCATAGTAGCTTTTTTGCATGCAAAATCTCAGCCCGATCGGTTTAAATTGACAAAGTTTCATACAAACTTTCAGCCACTATTTTATCCCCTTGGGGGTAGAATTGATCAAAATTCTTTCTTAGCGGATGCCTACGTCATAACATCTACCTGTATGCCAAATTTCAGCCCGATCCGTCCAGTGGTTTGGGCTGTGCGTTGATAGATCACTATGTCAGTCAGTCACCTTTGAGTTATATATACCTATTTATTTATTTATTTTATATTTTTGTTTATTTTATAGATATACGTGTCTCAGATATTCTATTCCTACGTCATTTCGTAACTCACTTCACTTATGCCACGAAACTTAATTATCAATTCAAGATTGTGCGTTTGAAGTCAATTCCGGCACCTGAGCAAATTATAATTCGGGTCTAAATCTTTAAAGAATCACAGGGCATTATTCTGTAAAGATCCAGACCATTATAATGGGCCACGACATCTTTTTATTTAGCGCTATTTCGTTTCATTGCACCTACTGATTTAACATGTACTTGATTAACGGCAAACGAATGATATAATAAAACAAAAGACGGTCTAACATCGCTAATTATGGCTAGAGAAAGAGGTGGTTGCTCCGCTGGTATTCTGATTTTGTGCAAGGTACCTGCCAAAGGAATGAAAGCAGTCTGTTTAAGATATGCATGTAGCTTTGAAAACTGTCATTTTAAGATATGCATTAAATAATTTTCTTTCTTACAGATGATGTTAAGATGGCAACAAAAATTATTGCTATTTCACTGTCGCTACTTGCTGTAACAACTGGAGTAGAATCACAATTCTTTGGTAAGTCTCTGGTGTTATTTTCTTTAACTGTTTCATAAGCATTTCCAGAATCGCAGCACGCAGCACGCAGCACGCAGCATGTAGCACGCAGCACGTAGCACGCAGCATGCAGCATGCAGCATGCAGCACGCAGTACGCAGCACGCAGCACGCAGCATGCAGCACGCAGCGCGCAACATCGATAGTTAGACTATTATTTCCTCTTCGCGCTGATTCACTGTCTAAAATTATTCAATAATCTACTCGATGGACAGACAAAATTGGCTATCATCTATATTACAATGCATATTGTACCGTCACATACATATGTACATTTACCAGTAATTTAAATCAGCAAATTCGTTACCTAGCCTGCGTTATACCGCAGTGCTGCCTCCTAATTGCCAGTTGCATAAACGTTCATTAAAATTGTCATTAGTTTAAAGCGACATTACCTATATAAAAAAAGCTCGGTAGCGTAGTGGATAAGCGCCGTGGCCCGCGATAGTAGTCGTTAAACAACTTTCGCAAGGTCACGGGATGGGTGACCAAAAAATTATTATCTCGAGCTACTCCGTTCTTCGGAAGGCGCGTTAAGCCGTCGGTCCCGGCTGCATTTGCAGTCGTTAATACCCTCCAAACCGCATCGGGCCAGCGTGGAGTGTCATGGCCCACCCTCCTTAACCATCCATAAGGAAAGCCTGAGCCCCTACAATTGGGACGTAAAAGGGCTGGTGATAATGATAATGACCCATATAAATTTGACATTCATTAGAATTCAAAGGCGTTATTAAACCCCAATGGTCGTTTGTGCAACTGACCTTGAGAGCCATTTTTAATCGTATATTGTGTAAGTTAATGAATATAGTCAAAAAATAAATTATCCATTTTGATTATTTCCATCACCAAACTTCTTGATAAGTACAATTCTTGATAATCATAAATTCGAAACATCATGATCATGTATATGAATCAACGACCATGAAATACATTTGACTAATAAATTAAACAGTAACAAAACCCTAATGCTGTATCAATTAAGTGTTTCCAATAAATGTATGTTACAGATTTATTTCAAGGCTACCAACCGTTCCAACCTACACGGCATACAACGAGACGACCAGACTACAACATATATCCACAAGAAAACAATAGGAGGAAAACCAAAGACGATGAATCCTACACAAACAACGATAGACAGATAAAAGAACAGACACCGAGACCCTCTCATTCACACGAAACATCAAGACAAACTTACAGACAGACCAATAAAAGAAAGCATACGACTATAGCGCCGATATTGAATTTAAACTTTTTCACGACTCCTGCAACCACAAGAAAGAAAAATTCCAATCGAAGAGCTTTCGATACTAATACGCGAAGTAGAGAAACGGAATCAATTGAAAACTTATATAAAAGAGAACAAAACTCCAATTACGATAATAAAAATCAGTTTTACGACGAAACTTTAAATAATATTGTAAACGATTATCAAACTACAAGAGCTACGACAACTAAACGAATCACAACAACTAAAATTAATCATGGTTCTAAACGCAATAACGCGAATACAAGACCTAATTACGCGACAACTAAGACTTATTACGACGCGAATAGACCAAGCAATGGTGCCAATTCTTTTTCGACGTTAAGACCTGGTGTGAGACCTGCTAATGTTGATTTAAGTAAACCACCAATAACAAATAAGCCACCATCTCTCGCTGTATATCCTAGGCCAACTGATAGTAGTGTAATACGATTCCCCGAAGACCCGGACACTAGTCCAGAAGTGATTTCAGGACCGGATGAAGATAAAATGAGTCATGCTGAAAAAAGGAAATATATTGATGTGGCCGAAAAAAGTAAGTAACCTTGTAACATATAACGACTGGGTGAAAAAAAAGATAATAGAAAAATATTAGATACGTATTTTTTTTCCTTCAATTTAACAAGAAATAGCTTAGAAACAGGCATTAAAGTTAGTGGGGGCTGGCTACGTCACAGTTTTGTAGAAAATGCACAAAAGTGTGACTTCATGTGGCATTTTAACTCAGCATATCGCTGTAATTTAATGATTACGAAAAAAAACGCGTTTAAATATTTCAACAATCTCACTTGACGGACAAAAAAACATTGTCGTCATCCCAAGACTCTCGTTAAGGCGAGATTTTACGAGAATACCACTTTTTAAAACAGTTGTATTCTAAGGCTATGCTAATATTTACCAAATAAAAACATTTATTTCATGAAAATTAAACATATATTCGATTGTTTTTCTAAAAACAAAAACATACATTTTAATAATACAGGATCTATTTTACGACTAGTATATTTCATCTTAACTATATAAAAAAATAAATATATACAAAAATTAGTTTTTATGTCTTCCTCACAAATTAATATCACCAATAATTTGTGAGGTTAAAATGCTATAATATTCTATCGAATTGCTAATTGGCCTAAAACACGAGAAACGCTTTGTCTACGCCCAAATATCACTTTCTCGGGTCGAGTGTGAGATATCGTATGGGTGCACCTGAGAAAAGTGACAATGGGCTAGTTGAATTTATTTTTCCAGTATAAATAAATAAGCCATTAATATCTGAGAAATAATGTGGAAGTAACAGCATGTCCTTACAAATTCAAGGCACTGAGTGACGTCACACAGTGCTACGGTAGCGAAAAACTTATGAGCGTCTGGGCAATATTTGTTATATCATTGTTATTTGTGTGTTTATGTTTATAGCTGTTATACAGAAAAGTGTTACGTTTTACGTAACCAATTTAATGCCATATATATTTAAGCAACTTTTAAAACTATATTTTCCTTCCCTTTTTCAAGTTTTCTAATCGTAATATTTTCCAAATTAGTGTCATAAATTTTTAAATATTTATAAGTTAAAAAAGGTTCATATATTCCAAACATATAACAGAAACCTGTATTTTCACGAGTTCTTCATTCTAAGTGTTCTTTGTTTATTGATATTTTGTGTTACATTTATTTTCAGTGTGTGACAAGTACAAATCTTTGAATGTAAAGAAACTAGAAGCTATACCACTGGTCCCTTCGCCGGAGCCTGTACGACTGAACGTATCAGTATGTTCCCCCACCAATGTGCCTCTAGTGGTGGGGGGGAAGGTTGTCACCATCCAGGAATTCCCCCATATGGCATTGCTTGGTTGGACAAAGATACAGGTGATTTTATTTATTACTATCATCATCAGCTCTTCTTCGTCCCCACTGCAGAGGCTCAGGCCTTCGTTATCCCTACACGCTGGCCCAATGTGGATAGCATTAACGACAAATGCAGCTGGGACCAACGGCTAAACATGTTTAACGAAGCACGGAGTGGCTTAAATAAGTTTTTGGTCACCCACCCCGTGACTGACCCTCGCGAAAGTTGCTTAACAACAACGATCGCGGGCGCTTATCCACTACGCCATCGTGCTGCTTTTTGAAAGTTTTAGAAGTTACTTTTTATTGTAATTAATGTATGTATTTTGGTTTTAGGGGGGAGGTTATACTTGGAAATGTGGTGGGTCTCTCATCAGTGATCAATATGTACTGACAGCGGCACATTGCGCTTATCAAGATAAAGACGACACTGTTGTATCGTAAGTAGTGTGCCGGATATTTATTTATTTAGTAGATCGCGACTTTGAACTCGTAAATAGGCTAGTTCACAACTTTTTTTTTACAAATAAATAATCCATTAATGTCAGAGAAGTAACGTAGAAGTAACAGCGTATCTGCGATTAACAGTTTCGGAGATACGGCCCTGTGAACGTTCCCTACAAATTCAAACGGAGAAGTGACGTCACACGATGCAACGGTAGCCAAAACATACGGGCGTCCGGGCAATCTTTGTTATGTTTTTGTTATTTGTGCGTTTATGTTTATATATGTTATAGTGAAAGTTGTTACGTTTTATGTAACCAATTTAATGCCATATGTATTTTATAAAATTTTTGTAATGATCTTCCTTATTTTTTCAAGTTTTCAACTCGTAATATTCTCCATATTAGTGTAAAAAAAATATATTTTAAAATAATTTATACTTTATCTTTAAAAAAATCTATGAAATTCATCATTCTGCTAATGTCAGCCTTATTATGGAAAGGCCCACAGTACACCCTGATTCTTTAAGGAGAAGTTTTTAAGTAAAAAATAAACCATTTCAATTATTTGTCGCCTGCTTATTGGACATGTGTGTCCAATTACAAAGGACAGAGTTCGACTTAATTGTCCTAATTTATCCATTTCGCTTCATGTTTTACTCCCATCAAAAGTTCCTCATCCAACAAATATAAAATGTATCTTGAGTATGGAGAAACCCAGCCCATTCAAAATTTTATCAAAATTCCTTGCAATCAATAATCTTAATTTATAAATATCTTTGTTTTCTATACACATTCTTTTTGTATTATCTTTAACAATGAAATCGGATAGACGCGCTCAGTCTTTTTTTTTTTGTTTTATCCATTACTCCAAAGTTCAAAATTGACATATTTTATTATTGTTTCTTTACGTGTAAAGACCACAAACGTTTTCTTTTTTTTAAATACTTTCTCATTCAGAAAATATATTTTACAATAATTTAATATTATTAAGTTAAACGAATCCATAATATATTTAGCGATCTCTATTTTTTTTGCAGTCCGTACTACAATGACAGATATGGCATGAAGTTGGTAGCTAGGAAGAGCTAGCCCGATATTATTCTTGATTGGCTCGAATATACATATATACTTACCTCTTGGATCAGATTGAAGCGTTTTTATTTATAAACTATTATATAGATATCTGTATTTTTATAGGGGCGCTCCAAGGGTTGTCCAACTCGGTTCCAGTCATTTGGATGACGCCGGAGCTCTGGTGATGAGAGTTTCACTTGTAGTTCGTCATCCAAAGTATCTTCAGACTAGATCATATTACGATATAGCACTAGTCAAGTTGGTGAAACCTGTTACGTAAGTACATGAAACAAAAAATATTGACATGATTATTACCGATCGATTGATCGAGGAGCTCGATGGTTAGCGTCGGTCTGCGATGCGGTTGTCAAGCAACTTTCGCAATGGTCGGTCAAGGATGGGTGATCGAAAATTTTTTGTCATGCTCCGGCCGATATTGTATCCCTAAACCGCAGTCAAGTAAATTGCTTACTCTCATTTTTCAATAGATGGAGCTGTGCCCGTATGAATCGCGGTATATCTTGTTTCTGTATAATTATATTACCTAGTATTAAAAATTTAGTTTGATACTATGAGGTTTATCCGCTAATGTTAGTACGTTTGCATCCTGTACTTGAACTTATGGACCAATTACGCCAAGTTAGCGTTGTTATTCACTTATTTAATGAGGATGAGTGAGGACCTCATTTTTCCTCGTGAGGGGCTCGCGAGTTACCATTCATTTGAGGTGAGGATAGGTAATGTTAGAGTAGCAGTGAATGAGTACGTAGCGAGGCGCGCGCAGCTATGCCGTTTGGTACAAAATGCCCTCATTTTGAGGGAGTCGGTATTATGCTAAACAAAACATATTTTGTCTTTTGATTCTAAAAAATAAACTTTATTAGATTATTATTTAACAGAATGTCCACAAAACGCAACTTATTTTTAATAGTGCTAAATGTTCAATTTTTAAAATCGATAATTTGTAATTCGAGTCGAATAATAATAATTCATTAATCTACTCGTATTTTAAAAAGGAACAACGGAATATACATATATTTCTAAATAAATCGATATATTTTTATTCACTTTGGTTTTTACTTAGACTAGTTTATATCATTTATCTATAAAAAAAATAAAAAGGTATTTGCGAAGAAACACATAAACAAACCTGAATCTTTCTAAAATAACTCATAAAAGTTAACCCATTCCCTCAATCTTGAATATATTGAGTAAGTATTGAGTCGCCTTTTTACTCGAAACAACTCGCTATTTAGCTTCTCACTCAAAAAGTGAGGAGTTTAATGAGGTGGTTCTAAATTGAAAAACGAGTACTTCCTCATTTTGTCGAAATGAGGAACTCAAACGAGGCACCTCGCGAGTGAGGGGCTCATCACTATAGTGTTGGAGCATTTGCAACCTGTACTTGAACTTACGTACTATTAAAAACTAGTCGCGAAAAACATTATATTTTCTTTTTAAATTAGTTCTGTAACCATTGCAGATCTTAACAAGAAGCTTTAGAGTTTTATACAAGAAGCATTTAAAACCACTCTCCAAATTTTAGTATGTTAATCTTTACGACAAATAATGAAATACGTGTTTTTTCTTTTTATGTCGTTTAGAACAAAAATGTTGAGTTATATCGTCACGAAGTTATTTTCAAAAAACATACATTTGTGGACGCTCCCACTGCCCAGTACGTGCGCTTTACGCGCTACGTTAGTTCCCCCCCCCCTCCCTTCCCGCAATTCATTGATAGTAATACAAGTACGTTTGCGAGTTAGTAGCAGCTACCTAAAATGTTTTCGTTTTTTCATGCTAGGGCAAATGGTACATAAAGTTGAAACCTTTCCTTCATACTTTTACGGGCTTAGGACCGTCAAATTGCAAAAATTCTATTAGATACCTACTATTACAATAACTATACTGCTTTAAATTTATAAATAAGTAGGTAAGCAAATATCAAGTTACCTAAAATTCTGTTTAGTTAAACCAATAATAAAAAAGTAGGTACTTAACTAGATATTCTTTGCAATCAGGCGTATTTAAAAAATCATCAACTTTATGTACATAATCAACTAATCACTTTATCCTACCTAATTTAACTATTTACCTACGTATACTTTAATAATTGTTCAAAGTGCATACCGTTCCTTTCCACACAGAGTCTTGCACGTTTTTGCACATTGTCTTTTAATTTGGCGAGCACTACAGTGTCATTTTTCACGTGGTCAAATGCCGCACTAATTTGCACTTTTAAGTCCTCGAGGCTTTGTGCTTCTTCAAAATACACACGTCTTTTGATTTCACCCCACAAATAAAAGTCGCACGGTGTTAGGTCCGGCGATCGAGCAGGCCACACGATGGGGCCTCCGCGTCCAATCCATCGATCACCATATTCTATGGTGAGATGATCTCGGACGGCGGCGGCGTAATGGGGTGGTGCACCGTCCAGTTGAAAATAAAAATCCCGGAAGTAGGCCACGGGCAAGTCCTCCATGAAATCGGCAATGACATGCCGCAACATATCGAGGAAGTTGCCGCCGGTGAGCGGCCCTTCGATGAAGTACGGCCCCAGTATTTTCGTGCCTATAACACCGGCCCACACATTGACACTAAAGCGCACTTGATGGTGGGTTTCCCGAATCATATGCGGATTTCTGAAGGACCACCAGTGTTCGTTATGATGGTTATAAAGCCCCACACGAGTAAACAATGCTTCGTCAGTCCACAAAATGTTGGCATTAGGGTGTGCAATCAGCCATTCACAAAAGGTGCGACGGGGCACATTATCTCCATCGTGTAGAGCTTGGACCTTTTGGAAGTGGTAAGGGTGTAGCCCTGTCACATTCAGCAGCTTCCACACGGCATAGTGGCTTACGTTAAATCGGCGTGCGGCATCTCGTGTACTGGCTCGCGGGTCCCTTTCGAAGAAATCCAAGATTTCATCTTCGATTTCAACTGCAAGTCTTGATCTTCCACCTCCGCGAGCGTGAGCAGGCGTAGTAAATTGACCATAGTCGAATAGCCTTTGGTTCACAGCCAAAAATGTCTCGCGACTAGGTACTGCGGGGTTTATTTATCCCTGATTTTGCAGGGCTGGGATGGATTCTGTTTCGTATAGTCTCCGAGCTGCATTTAAACTTTCACCGCTTAAAATGTAACACCGCACCATTTCGTAATATTTGCGATTGGAATACATTCCGACGCGCGAAGTGTGGGGCTGCGGCGGGTGGCGCGCAACACGGAAGCAAAGGCGGAAGCGCGTGCGTTCAAAGGGATTGTGCGCGGGTGACTGATGTTGCCGACTAAATAAAAAACCGAGCAGATATCGTCGGCGGTGCATGCGCGGCGCATCCCCTGCGCCCGCGCCCCTTGCTACCCCTGCTCGTTTCGTTCATAACTAATGTGACAATACGAATGTTATAATTATCTTGTAATTACAAAAAGTTTACACTTCATTTTGAAAATTTTACATAGTGTTTTTTTTTTCATATATGTGATCTATTAACGATACCTAATGCCTAGAAAAAATTTGGAGAGTCATTTTAAATGCATCTTGTATAAGATAAATAAGATCATCCGCTTCTATTATAAAATTCGTTTTAATATCCAGATTCTCTGAAGTGGTGAAGCCAGCGTGTCTTGGCGTCCCACCAGGCGTTGGTGAGCCAATAATAGCCACTGGTTGGGGTCGAACTGAATTCGGTATGTTATAACTAGTAATATCTTATACACCATTAAAAACATTTTCAATGCAGTTGCTCATAAAGCACTATTTTTTTTAATCCATTGTAAACACTGAAAGTGAGTCTTTAAACACGTGTTAAATAAAAATGTACTGAAATCCTTTACTGCACACGTGCTTAAAAGTATTTTTTTAATTTTATTTTTTGGCCGAGCACCAAAGAAATTTAAAAAATATTGATGAAAATATGTCAAACTTTAGAGGCAAAAATATTTCAAGGAGCCTAGAACGAATATTTTCAAATAAAAATGTATGACACGAAAACATGTTCAAATATCACGTTTAATTTTAACAAATAATTTTTACCTTTAATACATACTTAGTTTTATTAACCTATATATTTGTTTTATTTCCTCGCAAAAAGCATTGAAAAATGTTGTAAGAAACTCGAGCGTAAAAGGTCAATTTGGCCCTTATTCGTGAAACCTTACTTTCCGCACTCGTATCTTAAATAACTATTTCATGTAAAGTGTTGCCAAGTCGAGACAATATGAACTGTCACTGTCAAAAAGTAATTTTTTTACCTATGGCGAATCGAAAAGGAGGGTTATGATTTTGGCCGATATGTATGTAAGAATGTTCATCTGTTTCGTTATAATTTCGAAACTACTCAACTGGACAAATGAGGTATTAGAAACGTCTTAGTTATGCGCGTGCTATCACTACATAGTATAAAACAAAGTCGCTTCCTCTGTCCCTATATCCGTACGTATGCTTAAATCTTTAAAACTACGCAACGGATTTTGATGCGGTTTTTTTTCATAAATAGGGTGATTCAAAAGGAAGGTTTTTATGTATTTTTTAATTTTTTTTTCATTTTTCAATTACAACAGCGCCCTCTAGTGTTGCAAGTGTCCATGGGTGACGGTAATCACTTAACATCAGGTGATCCGTCTGTTCGTCTGCCCCCTATTCCATAAAAAAGAGACCGTAAAGTAAGAAACTAAAAAATATATCGTATATTATTCAATCATTCCGTGTAGGGTATCAAATGAAAGGGCTTAATTAGAACATTTGAAATAAATATTATTTGCAGGTGGTGGTCAATCTTCAGAATTACGCAGTGTTTCTGTACCGGTTTGGGACATTAACGACTGTCACCAGATCCTAGGAACATCCAGGAAACTACCAAATGGACCTACCAGCGATAATCAAATATGCGCTGGCGAAAAACAAGGAGGCAAAGACACATGTCAGGTATGTAAATTTCGGTGTAGCTCGCGGCCCACGAACGTTGTCTTTAAGCAACTTTAGCAATGGTCGGCCACGGGATGGGTGACCGAAAAATTATTACCACGAACTACTCCATGGTTCGGGAGGCACGTCAAGCCGTTGGTCCCGGCTGCATTTGCAGTCAACACCCTCGAATCCGCATTGGGCCAGCGTGGAGGGTCATGGCAGGATCATGGCCTTAACCATCCATAAGGAAGGCCTTACCTGCAGTGGTGTAAAAAGGCTGATGATGATGATGTTAATACTACAATACTATGTTCCTACAATTCCTACGAAGGGCTTATGTTATGCCTACGTCTAAAATTAATTATTAATATAATTTGGATAACCAATAGCATCTAAATATTACAACATACTTCAGGAAATATCTTTAATGAAAAATGCGTAAAAATCCATAAATTGGACTCGAATGTTTAAGTGGATTGCCTGAAAATTCATGAATATACGCTCACTATTAGCGAAAAATAACAAGTGCTTGAATGATTCCTCGGTCCTGTGGCCTAATTGTCCGATTTTAAAACCTATCACAATTCCTTTCAAACGTATAGCAATGATGGTGGTCATTTATAGTATTGTGTAACTTTAAAGTTGCAATCGGAGCAAATGATAATTTGAATGCATAAGGTATATAATAAAAACTTGGTAACTTAAACTTATATTCATTTTCACTAACCTAGAACAAGGCATAGCTTAATTAGGAAACGCCTAATATTACGAATCACCTTAGCTGATTAGTTTAATTTCAAATAAAATGTGATGTGAAATACTTGTAGCGTGAGGTTCGTGAATAACTGCAAATGTCAAATCAAATGAGATTGCGATTGTTTTAAAAGTTGGGGCTCGTGTAGCTCAATGGTTAGATTGCGCCCGGATTGCGAAAGGTCCCATTCGTTTGAGTCCCATCTCCTCCTAACCCTAGGACTGGTGGATTTTTTTAAATTTTTTCATGAATTATATCAAGTATTGACTTTAGTATCGAACATAAATTGACGTGGATTTACTGTTACTTGGCGTCCAATTTGTGTCAGCTGTGATCTAAATATATCTCTATCACGCATTATATCCCTCTCTTTTTCGTTGTTCCTCTCTTTACGTTCTTAATACGTTTCTAGGAAAAAGATTTACGTAATACTTATTAAAATGCTGTAACTTTGCAAATCCATGACATTAGAATTCTAAAGATTCATTGCGTATTTACCTAAAAATTTCAAAAACTTTTTCTTGCGTTAACTTGCTTTTAATTTTAAACGAAATTGTTATATTTACAATCTGACCACTAGTTTCACAAACGCCCATTAAAATTGTCATTAGTTTAAAAAGAGATATAACCGATACAATTTTTTACTACATTCATTAGAACTTAAAATCTTTATTTTACCTTAAATATTGTTGGTGCAAGTACCGTTGACGTTAGATTATAGTTTTAAAATGTATAGTTAAATTGAGTGCGACAATCTTTGTTTTACAGGGTGATTCTGGAGGGCCGGCTCAAATCCAAGATGGGTGTGCATGGCGGGTAGTAGCTGTGACATCAGTTGGAAGATCATGTGGAGCTCCTAATACACCCGCTCTTTATGCAATCATCCATAGATCATTTGTAGCGGCACAAGTCTTCGGCAAAGGAATATCTACTCAACAGACAAGTCAAAATATAAATAGACAAGACTATACAACTGTCAACAATAAAAATAATGCAAATAGACATAATGAAAGAGAGAATTTAAGTTCACATAAGAATAATAATGATTACATTCTTCCGGAAAACGTTAACGTGAATAATAATCATAAACAAAATATTAATAAACAAGATTATATCAATCTAAACAACAATAATAATAATAGAGATGTAAATTATAATTATAATCACGAGAGAGGAGATAATATAAATTTAAATAACAAAAACAATAATAATGCTTACATTATTCCTGATGTTGCAACAAATAGTAATCATAGACAAAATGTAAATTATAACAATAATTACACACCACATGTTATTGGCGACTACAGTGATACAGTGAGTGGGGAACACAATTATTATAATCAAAACAAAAATTACGAAATTGAAACACCTAGCCCAAGTCATAATAAATTTCACAGTATCAGAAGTCCAGATTATATTTACAATCCAAGTCCTCATGATAATAATAGACAATACGGTGGTTATAATGGTAATGTAAATGTCAATAATAATTACGATGTTGGTTTTCCTGAACAATCTTATACTGTAACCGAAGCGCCTAGATTCAATAATGGAAGGAATTGGTGGCAGCCATACTAATTTTTATGCTTTAATGAGATTATTTATGATATACAAATTATGTTAAAAGTTGTTATAGACTGTACTTATGTTATACCTAAGATAAGCTTTGGACGAAAATGGAGGGTGAATATCTATTATATTGTCAGAAGCTGAGCTATAGTATATAATCCATGTGACTACATGAAAATTGTCTACATTGCTAAACTATTATCTTTTGATCAATAGTTTGTATGGTTGGTTTTTATGCCTTATTCTCGTTGATTGTTTATTAGCAATGGTGTATCGACCAACTATATGGAGCTTAAAGAATAATTCATTTCGCATGTAGGCACAGTAACCGTTACTCTTTCGTATGTATTCAGAGCAATAAATAATAAAAACTATTATATCATCCAAATAAATGAACACAAGTATTTGATATTTATTTAGCATTTATTGATTTTACATTACCCTGTTTAAAATGTAGCATATAAATTACCCCATTAGGAATTTACCTCTTCAACCGTACACATCTAAAACATCAAATATTTGATATCACAAGGGTACGGTATTGTAACGTATACTAGGCAAAATGTTGTATCTAGTATCAAAAATCTTTCGTCATTTGCTCTGGAAACGATTGGGACTTAAAACTTACATAATTCCATAAACCACCATCACATCAGCTATACATTTGAAAGGGATTGCGATAGATTTTGAAATTAGATAAATAATTAGCTCACACATGTAAAAATATCTGTTACTGATTGTTAGCACATTTTAAGTTTCTTATGTAATAAAATCTAAATCTCAATTCATGGCCGAAAAGAATTATTATCCATTAAAATGGATCGTGATTTTCTTTATTTATTATATTCATGGTGGTTTTTATGACAGCTGCTGCAATTTCGATAATCTAGTAATTTGGAATTTTAATAATTGTTTACCTAATTGGTGACATATACAGTAGAATCATAAGAATTGAAGTTACGCCGATACCTGTGTACCTAGGTAGAAATGTTATTTTTGAAAATCAAGTCGTTTTTATATATTATTGGTTGATCCTTGAGTGAAGTTAGGTGTTACATTGCGAGTGGGACTTTAATAATAACGCGTTAAAGTCTATATTTTCTTAACTTGCTCTGTTATGAGCAGACGATTTTGCTTTTTAGATTTGGTATTATGATACTTTGTCATAGTCATGAAAGTAAATATTCAGTTTCCTAAAAATGACTTAATTATATAAATAATTTATTATAGGCAACATAATCAATAATACCCCTGGTGGGTAAAATAAGAGAAACAAGAAACTTTATATGTAAATAAATATGTTCATAATTCAATATTATATTAAATATATCTAAATTTAAATTGTTTTTTGTTTTATTTGCATCTATGGCCGCTATAATCCATTCATCATAACATTAGAAAGAAGAGGATCAGAGAAGCAGCAGTGCAGAACATTTTATTTTCAAGATAAATTAAAAAATATATATATAATATTTTGTTAAAACTTTGAACGTTGTCTGAAAGAGCTGGACAATTTTCCATTTTTTAATATACTTCAGGGTTGAGATGAGGCCAGCATTTTCTAAATTCATCTTTTACTCCCAAGCCAACATAAAACTAAAACTACCTTACTGTTTTAACTGAACTGTGACTTTAGAACAATATTTAGTAGAATTTGTATAGACAAACAGGTGACAGGATTGGGGTTAAAACTCATGAATTTTGTATGACGTAATTTATTACAATTATGAATACATAATAATCTGACAAAATTAAAAAGCTGTATTGGCGAAACTTTGTAGGGATTGGGCAACTTTTTCAATTTGGTATAGTTATAGTGATATTAGAATCGTGCCGAAACTATCCACTCCTGTTTCTTTAGGTCCTTTAAGATAAACACTTTTTATTGTAATAGTTATTAAATTATTAGCCGTCAGTCTCAAGAGTAATACAATTATTAATATTTTGTTTACCATAAAAATAACCTTATTTAACTTCTGACTAATTAAGTTTAGATGAAAGATTGGCTTTGTACAGATTTTTCTTATTTTAGGAAGTACTATTCATACTCATATTATAAAGATGAAAAATTTTATTGTCTGCTTGTTTATAGCTCTGTAAATGCTGGTCTAAAATTCATAGACGTAGGATATAAAAGAGTCGAAGAATAGTTTCGTTTTAAATAATTTAGAAGTTATAAATGAGGCTAAGGAGATCAAAGGAGTCGACTTATAAGGTAAAGAGAAAAAAGTAAGGTAGGTTTAAGAAATAAAACAATATCATCCTTTATATTTTTATTTCGCATCATATCATTCTTATAATCTATATGTCATATGTATGTATTATAACTATCTTTATAAGCTATAGGTAGGTACAGAGTATATCATAATATACTTATTAATAATATTTCCATCTCGTTTTAACTCCTTACAAGAGAACAGTCAAATCAACATGCAACAACCAGGATCGCGAAGGAAGAGGTGCACTTTTTAATATCATAATTCCATCAAGATTCAGAACAATTCTATGGCCAATATTCCAAATAAAAAAATAAGACAGATGAAATAGGAGAAACCTTCGTTTTTTAAATTTAAAGAGTGCGCCTCTCCTTACGCTGTAACGGTAAGATTTAACAAAAAAAAAAAGAGAAAAAACATTGCGTCAAACAAGATTTATCAACAGTCTTAAACATAACATAACAAACGAGTAAGCGTTCAAGACTTATAATTTACTATGCATTCTTAGTTTACTAATGTTATTATAATAACTACACTTTTCACTAGATTCGAGCCTTTTAAATAAATTAAAAAAAAACAGGTTATAACAACAAAACTGTATATATTACATCCTCGTTGCTAGGAACGTACACTATTTAAAAAAAAAAGAAACTATACATAGCTTTCTAATCTTAAATACATCACATTACTATGATATAAATATATGTAAAAGTAGCGTAAAGTTACTTTTTTCCATTAAAATATACAAAAAGGGGTGAAGTTTAAAAATCACTAACACATTTTTCGTGGTCGTTTTTTTTTATTAAATTTAAGTTCGAGAAAATCACAGATTTCAACTAAAAAAGCTCTGGGATCTTTTTTGTTCTACTAAAAAGAAATTTGGCTGAATAATAAAAATAGAATAGAAGTAAAAGGTGGAAAATGATGGTTTCATTCGTTTGATTGTCAAGAGATGGATTTTTCTAATTAATGATTTTTTTACAATTGTTAAAATATTTTTCGCGTTGTAAATGGTTAAATGTAATTGTTGCTTTTCCAAATGCATTTATTTTGATTTAATTGTAAAACTAGTCAATTCACTTTTTAATTTAGATTCAGTAGGGTTTATTAAAAAGTGAATTGACTAGTTTTACAATTAAATCTAAATTAGATTCAAATAGTTTAGATTCAAATATTTCAGAAATTAACAATAATCTATTTCAGTAAATGAATATTTTTTATAACCACGAAACATTTTCATTTATAAAATACAACAAATATTTTTAAAATTAGCGCCATCTCTTGTCAGTCGTAACGAATAAAACCGAGATATTGACCTGATTTTATTGAGCCGAAAATAAAACGACTATCCTATATCTAACACATCAATTGGACGGTAGAAAAAATGAGAGGGGATGAGAGCGGGGTATCAGGGTGTAGAGGGTAGGATGTTACTTAGCCATCGTTCAGAAGACGTTGTTTTTGTTTTAAATACTGTTTTTTAGTTAGTTACCAAATAACAATGATGTCAACAGACAGACCGAGGTTATCATTCATGAGATCTTAATGTTTATGGAATTCATTGGTCGCTATGGCTCGCATGCGGGGGGTACAAAATTTATGTAATATCCAATCATCAACATCAGTCCTTTTACATCAACACTCAAAGCGTAAATACGGGCTCAAGACGTCCTCACAGATGGTTAAGGAGGATGGGCCGTGACCCTCCACACTGGATTGGATCAAATTCTGCAAACGCAGCCAGGACCGATGGCTTAATGTCTGCAGCACGATGTAGCTCGAGATAATCATATAATAATGTCTTGGTCACCTAACCTGGGACTGATACTTGCCAAAGTTGGTAGCTACGCGCGAGCCGCAACTCTTATCTACTATGCCACCGAGCTACTTATTCTAATTGCGTGTGCGGAAGACTCTCAAGCAGTATGACTGCGCTAATACTTGCATTATTTTTCATCCTTCCTTTGAGGTGTCTTCGCATTTGATACATACACATTCTTAGCGAACAATTACGTCTGCCCAATGCCAAAATTTTTATATCAACAGTAAAAAGCTACTTTTACTGAGTAAGGTGGTGACACCGAAGCTCGTACTCTGTTTTAGAGCTTTCGAGTGATAAATGATTATTTCTGGACGTGCATTTGATTAATTCATTCATTCCGAATCTCAGCAAAACCTCGTTGGCAATGATCCTTCGAGCTGGATTCCTTGATATTATTTTGGTTGCTTTTTAAGCACTTTCACAAAAGGAGCATCAGTATTTAATTATCTTTCGCTTTTATCGAAAGGTTAAAATAACGTTGTGACGTTGAAGCTCTCACTAAACGATTAAAAAGAGAATGAGTCCTGGTTAGATCTGGGGAGACGCCATATTGGAATTAAACGTCATACCTGCCCGTCGCGCCCCGCTGCCCCGCCAAAGAGATCTGTAGACGCGAAGGTTATTACACCTGAATGACCTCGGCCTGTGACTTAAAATTTGTATATACCTTTAGAATATTACTCAGCGATTTTAAGCCATTCTTTAATTTCCCACTGTTCCACTAATAACGTCAAACGAACATATTTTTATATACGAAAACTGAAAACACCTTTTAATAATGAACTAGCATTACATGAAAGTAAACACACATTCTACATAACTATTGCATTATTTATTGCTGCTTATTTTTGTAAGTATAATAATAATAATTGATATGTAAACTGACATATATCGACAATTTTACGTCAATCCAATTACAAAAAAGTTCAGCGGAACAGGTTTATAAGAAATATAAATGAGCAGAAGAATTTTAGCCAATAAGAGAGCTGCGCGTTTGCTTGCTATTAACAATCGCGAGTTGTACTGTGAGTGTAAACTTTAATATGACGCATTGAAGTATATATTTCAGTGGTGTCGGTACTCTTATTCTATCGCCTTTGTGTTCTATTTTACGCAGACAAATGCAGATGCTAGTTTTAAAAATGAAGGTGCAGTATTTTTTTATATCGGTACTATCAAAGGAAAACCTGTTATTTGTTATATATAAATATGGATCAAAATGAACTCGATTTGAATGGTTGAAACAAAGACAGACGTCCGTCTCACACTCGATGGGATACTTGAATCATTCTGAAGCCTAATGTGGAAGTATTAAAAAAAAAGAAAGCACTAAAAAATCACCTCCACTAGATGGCGACTCTAGCAACAGTTGATATTTGCAGGAAATGATTGGACCAAAGGTAGTCATTTCTGTTCCTTTTAACTAACGTATTAAAAAACTGAAATTTGCATAGTTCGAAACTATCAAATCTTAATACAAATACGAAAAAGAACAGATATAATATTGGTTGTTTATTGAGTTTTGAAAAAAAACTTGTATACAGGAAAGAAAACCGGAAGGGCTGTCATGGAGAAATCAAGAAAGTACCGTAGCGACATCTAGTTTGATTTCGGGAACTAATGTTTTTTTTTAAATACTTTCTCATTGTCTAATTTTAAAATGTATCATAAATGTCTATGTGACATTCGAAAAATATTCACGAACTCCATGCTACAACTGTGACAACATGTGATAGAGATTCCGATCCCGGCATTCTTTTTAATATATTTAATCAACAAACTAATACTAATTGGAACTGTCTAAGCAAAGCAATAAATACTTGAAAGCTATTGAGAAATGTGAAGCGACAGAGCTGAATGCTAAATGCAATCTTTCGTCGGGTTTATCTATTTTTTTATTATAATTCTTGACATTCTTGACATTCTTTGATTGGAATGT